AATGAAAAAAAAAAAAAAAAAAAAAAAGAAAATCTCTCAGATGAAAAAGCCAGCACTGATAGCAATGTGAGCACTCTTCTGTATGTAATTCCATTAAAGTCATACTTGAGAGGACCCACCATGAACCCGAAGAGTGCGAAAAACAGGGTTCCAATGACACTACCCAGATTTCTTCCCCTGTGCTCTCCCTTCCTTCCCCCACCAGCTCCAGCACCTATAACATCTCTCTGGGGCCAGAACCCCAGAYTAAAATCCTCCTCATCCTCCCCCAACTCCACCCCACATCTCAGTCCTTCATGTTCAGCATCAGCTCTCTATTGCTGTCTGGTTTCTCTGGGAATACAAGACAGCGCCCCTTGGGAAGCTCCCCCTCCATCCAGCTGGTGCACAGCAATTACATGGCTCTGAGAACATCTTAAAAATGAATTATAGCCTGCTTTTTCCCTTCGCAGCCAAAAGGCTTTTGGAAGAGCAACTTTCTAATTACGTTAGAAGACATTTGAAGCAAAAAAGAAAAAGGCAACGTGCAGTTTGCATACAAAATGTGGAAGGGTCAAGGCTGGTTCACCATCTCCCAGACCCTTGGAGCTCCTTGGAGCTAGCCACAGGCTGCTGCTGCTCCCTTTGAGAGAGACAGCCACATCAGCCCCGTGGAGGGCTGTCAGCAGGCAGACATCAATTACTCTTTTATGAATGACCTTGTTCCCATCCTTGCTGCAAGGAACAATTTCTCTTCAACATACTTGGCAGAATCTGCAGGAATAGCATCCTGTCTTTTGGCTGGTGTTTCTTTTAATTCACCTCTCTGATGCTCCCCCTTTGGTGAAGGGGGTCAGCTTTGGATGAGGGAGAGATTCTTTAGCTCAGACTGGGTTCTGTAGCTCTGCCAAACTCCCACGTTTCCAGGGAATGAGCTGACCTCTGCCCTGCTCTGCTCCGGCTGCTTTTTGGTGCTGCTGTGGTCCATTGCAAGGGCCAGCTCCCTGCCCGACTGCAGAKCTCAGGAGCAGGGAAATAGGAAATTCAGATTGCATCCATCAGGTTGTGTGTCTCCCTGCCTGACCCAGTTCATTAAAAGCATGCAATGTTTTTGCCCTTCCACAGAGCAAACACGAGTCAGTGACATCAGCCYGAAAGAGGAATCTGTCCTCTGCCACTGGCACACAGATGCCTCACTCAGAAGTGTTGCACCATGAGGGACCAGGARGTAGATTAAATTAGAAAGAAAGATGCTGAAATGTGCTGCAGTGATATTAAGGACCCTCTACACACTTGCCTACACCTGGGTGTAATAAAGCAGACAGCYTGTGCTCTGTGCTGGCCCTACTGGCTCATCAATCTTGATGAAAATCTGGGTTATACCAGGCATTCACTGAGGCTTTTTCCACTGATTTTTTTTAAATATCTGCTCTATCCTGAACACAAATTTTCCTCTATACAAGTCGGATTTCAGGCCATAAAGTTCAGATGTCAGAATTTCACCTGGGATATTATGGTTGGCATGTTGCTCCCTGTTTTTTCTTTTCTTTCCCTTTCTCTGTCTGACCAGGTAACAACACATGATGCTTTAAACCTTCACTGGTGCCGGAGTTTTTCCTCTGTAGAAACAGCACTAGAGACACTGCTGTTTTCCTTCCTTTTCCTCCCCTTCAATAGCAACAGGGCCTCCAGGGACTGTAAGAGCAGCAGGATATTTACATTCAGGGCTGACTGCATGATGGACCATAGATCACCAGAAAGCAGAGTTTGCCAGAGCTGGAGGACAGTCAATAAACCTGTTGCTATTCTCCCTGTTTAAGAGGAGCTWCAGAGGTAATATTAATGGATTTTAGAACATAATTTTTTATCCTTCTCAATTGCTTCTTTGGAACCAGAAAACATCAGTGCAAGCATCAGTGGATGCAAGGTAGCATCTGTCTGGTCTCATGATACTGCGAATGCAGCTACAAGCCTGGCTCCTGAGACCTGTGTGCTTAAACTGTTTGGACATGTTCTGGTTTCTAACCACTGTGTACCATTACTGTTATTAGAACAGCACCAGTAAGGCCTGCAAAGACCAGACCTCCCCTGTAGGTACACAAMGCTCCAGATAGCCAGGCAGCACGAGCATACATAATTCAAACAGACAAAACAATGCTCCTGTAAGACTGTCTGCATCCTGATCAGCTTTTCCCCAGGGTGGCTGGTTTACCAAGTGGCATTGTGGTGGATTAGCCACATCSATGCAGACATCCCCCAAGCATGGTTTGGTTTCCTGGACAGCCACAGATATCAGGCATATAGTCTGGTGTCTTCCCTCTTTGATTAAACAGTGAATTAAATGGTCTTCTAMATAAGACATACTCTGTGCAGGGAGGAAAAGCCCTTAAAAATCAATAGTGGGGGAAGATGAAAGATCCTGTCTATTGCAGAAAGAGGAGAAAAGCTCCAAGCAGCTCCCTGCGAGCTGTAGCCCAGCAGGCATCAGTGGAGCTGGGCAACACACTGACAAGTTTTGTAGCCACACAGGGCCAAATCCTCTCCTGTCTGTGATTACACCTCGCTGCAGCTGTCAGGGCTGACCCTCCCTGCCTTTGCTYCTTGCTGGAAGATCAGAGATTAAAAGTGTGCCTTGGAAATGGGAACCGTGCGGGGGAAGGGGCGGGGAAGGAGCAGTGARCTGGTCCTTGGTGTGAGATGCCGTTGGGAGGGGAATGGGCGAATGCCATCCCCCCTACTCCCCACCCCCGTGTGATTTAAGATGTTGATGAGCTGCTTGAACGGCTTGGAGCCAAGAACACGGTTGCTGGTGGCCAGTTCTTGGGTGTCTCCCAGGACTGCCGTTAATTCCTGAGGGCTGGGGACGTGCCACCAGCCCGCAAGGGTTACGGGGACTGCTCCCGTTCCCGGCGGTTCCGCAGCATCTCCCGGAGCGGGAGCGGGCGGCCGGCGGGCCCACGGCCCCCTCCAGCGGCGGAGCGCGGAGCTGGAGCGGCCCCCGCCCGGCCGCCAGCGGCCCGCTCGCCTCCTGCCCCACGGCTCGGCACGGGGACGGCGGAAACGGAGCTTAAAAGGAGCCAGGAGGCATCCTGTTATCCCCGCTCGTCGCACCTTTCCTCTGCTTCCCGCAAGGCAGTGATACTGTGACTCCCCTGCAAAGGTGCCATCAGGGGTCCAGAATGAAGACAGCCACCTCTGCCAGGGGATCACAACTGTGGAAGCTAAAGACAAGCTAAYAGGATGCACGAGGAGCCACAAAAATAAATAGCGAGTTTGAGGGTTCTGCCAGCCAGAGGTTTCTTGGGTGGGCAGAGTTTGGCTGCAATACAACAAACCAGCCAGGCTGGAGGAGGTGATGTGTGGCTGGAGGAAAGGATCACCCACATTACAGGGGGAAGGGAGACCAGCACCATGTGGCCCCTGGACAGTCCTCTTTGGACAGCAGCTCTGGAGTTCACTCAGTATGTGCTGGGACTATTTAACTATCGCTTCAGGAAATGGCTATGATTTTCACAGCCTGTTCTACGGAATGGCATGCCCCAAACCATACCAGARAGTAAGGCAACAAATAAACATGATAAAGAAGTTTGACTGCATCTTCAGGCAGCCATAACAATCTCCACTATTCTGTATATACCCCTTGGTTTAGACGTGGTAATTGCAGGCACACATTAAAGACACTTCAGCAAAAGAGAGGGGAGTTACACATATTCTGCTAATAATGGGAACTCGGACCCCTTTGGGCATCTCAAACAGAGAAAGGAAGACAGTGTATAGAGAAAGTGAAAACATTCATTTCAGTGGCTGCTTTGCACTGAATTTTAAGGTGTCAGCTTCTCATTTCTGCCATCAGTATMATTTTCCCCAGTTACACAGATTAGGTAAATGTCTTTAAAGTTAGTATATGACAGCAATGCAATTATTTTATATTAAACATGATTTCATGCTCAACAGACTACCTGTTAACTCCTGCCCTTCACACAGGAAAACATGCAGTGAGCAGCAATTTACCACTCATCCCTCCAGCCCTAAGGCTGGAAGCTGCTCTGTGTAGACTAAGCCCCACATGCAGGCTCTCTTTTTACATGGAGCTGAGCTCACAGGGCGCTTTCCTACTGTCAACATAGTCTAGGCCCAAGCAGGCACTTTGCTGTGGATGATGGAGAGAAGAAAGGGGGAATTTCAGCTCTTATGTATTCAGGTCTCCTAGTAGACTGAAATCCAATGTCCAGCCCAAATTCCCCATGCCTTCTTCCATGCTTTCTATGCCTCACATCACCACTGTGGTGGATGTTTGCAGTGAGGAGGGGAATAAGAGGGGCTAGTTTTGCTGYCACAAGTCAGGAGAACCATGTGAGACTTAAAATTGCACTGCTAAGGTTTCCCCACACAAACCACGTGTTGAGTTGGTGAGGAGGAAAAAAATACCCTGAGAATTGTCATCACCGCAGTTGCTTGGCAGATAAGCACCTTCCCTCTGAAAGCTGCACATGAAGGACCTTGGCAAAAGAAACGAGGTGCACAAGGATGCAGTCTGAAGAGCTCTGCAAGGTCAYGCTTTAACAAAAATGTCCCCTTGCAGCACAAGGTGGAACAACAGGACTCCTTCCCCMGGTGTGCATTGTCCAAGGCAACATGGCCCCCAGCAGCACACAGTAAAGGGGCCAGCCCAAGGTGACAAAAATCCCCTCCCAGCCAGTCCTTGTGGGTACAGATACGCACCATGGCAGTAAGACACTGCGATTCCCGCACCGTGGCGGCAGAGCTCAGCAGGGCTGCCAGGATCAGGGTCATGCTCACGCAGATCCCCAAGTAGAAAGCTGGAAGGAAGACAGACATGAGAGTTGTGGTCAGATGCCAAGTGCTACCAGACACCCAGCRTGATGCTTCACCCAGAGAGTGGTCAAGATGTGTGTTTTGGGGAACTGGCCCCAAATGACCAGGCTGCAGAACTGAAAGTTTTCTGTAATTTATTCAGTACCCCCCATCTGTGCATGCTTTGCTGTGTATGTCTGAGTTGCTCCCACAGCTCCGGCAGAGTGAAGCAGCCTAAAAGGGTTGTCAGTCCACCCGAAAGACCACAAGCTGCCAATTATTTCAACATTCTGATAAAGATCCCCCCAAATGGGGGGTGCTGGTGTGCAGCAGCTGTCCCACAGCCCCTATCAGGACTTGGGGCACTGCTAATCTGGTGCAACACTCACCCTCTAGTTTCCTCCTGGCTCAGCAGGATCTCAGCCACTATGCAGGGCAGGGCTCAGGGACCACAGTGCTGCAAAGGGCTTTGCTATTCTAACCATRCAGAGGGAATGCTTGCAAACAAGGCAAACCAAAGCATTGCTGGAGAGGGGTGGCTGGGGTGGGAGAGCCTGCAAGGCTACAGTCAGTGCTGATATATAACCCCTTTATGTGTAGGAACAAGGAAGGAAGTTAGCTTTGGACTAACACAGTTTTCATACCTGCTTTGTTCAATTGAAATTGAGAGCCAGGATCCCAGGGGTGTAAGCATGTTTAAGCCCAGAGCATAGCTCAGGAGAAGCAGCACATACAAGTGCAGCAGAGGTGAGCAGAGTATTTTGGTGTCCAGGCTATCTTTGCTCTGGCCTTGTACCTGAGATTCAGTTAATATTTCTCCCTTGTGAAAGCAAAAATACCCCACATTTCCCCAGAAAACCTCCAGGTGTTGCCATGCATTTCTCCTCCTAGCCTCAATTTTTTGTGTTCTGCTCCAACTCCTGTAGTCCTTCTGCCCAAGCTCCCAGGCTCCTGCCAGCCCCAGTGAACTTTTAGAGGCTGTGGAGAKCCCCCTGAGCTCTTACCACACACAGGAGAAGGATGGGGACACAGTGAATAGAGGAACAGGTGCAAACACAGAAATACCTGAGCACCCCATGCTCCCACAGCATCCATGCTCCCACAGGCATGCGAGTCTGGTACAGGGAAAGAAAGTGCCTGTGGGACTGCATTAGTCCTGAAGCATCCTCCAAAACCCAGCTCCTTCCTCTTCTTGAGATACCCCTGCATTTTCTTCAATTGCTTTAGGGAATTTTGCAGCTTGTGGTTTGACCAAAGGTCTCACTGGGGTGTGACTGTGACATACCTGTGTGGTGGATGACCCTGTAGGAGTTGCTGTCCAGGGAGACGTTGCTGATGAGGGTGAAACGGAGCCCGTAATGGGTGACTGTGCTCAGCGTAGCAATGGAGAGCCCCAGCAGCTGGAAAAGAAGGGTTTCAGGAAGGATTTACAAGGCAGCAGCTCTTGCTGGGTGCACACAAARGTTTGAGGTATATCTAGATACTCCTGAGCCCTATGCAAATGTGGACAGCCTSATCATCCAGAGACCACCACATGTACCCCAAAATGCACATAAAAGGATAAACCCCAGACACTGAAAAATACTAAAGTTGTTTTTGTCTCTTTTGTAATGAGTGTATGTAATGCTGTTCAGCCCACAGTCTCTTGGCCAATGCCTATGAATTAAATTCCCACCATGTGAAGAAAATGGAGAGGATTGATGCCCTTGCAGCATACCTGTGCAGTGACACTCCACTCTGCAGACTGCACAGGTGTGGCTGTGAGGACTGCCAACTTCAGAAGTGGTTTGGGGCAGGGGTGATGATCTCTGCTTTGCTCTTTGCCATGCCAGTCTTACTGCCTGCTGTTGGCTCTGTTTCCTGTAGTGGAGTGCAAAGAGCTGAGTCCTGCACTACTGAGTTGTATGTGGTGGTTTCTGTCTCTGCAAGGTGTTGCTGGCCTGTTTCTGTCCCATGCCTGAGACCACTGCTGTGCCTAAGGCACCGGGTAATTACATGCACATCAGGCTCTTGTGTTGCCCAGAGTAAGTCAGAATGATGGACAGGGAACATTTCTGATGGCACCTGGCTCTAGGGCAGGGCTCCTTGCAGCATGAGAGGTGGCAGAGCTGGGACAAAGGTGCCAACGGCRAAAAACAGCCCCAAATCTAGTGTAATGAACCTGGAAAATAAAAATCTATCTCCTAAGATGAGGCTTCATCATTTTTTGCCTTTACAATATGGAGACACGAGGCAGCTTACCTGTGTCAAATGCAACAGTGCGATCTCAGCATAATCCCCACTATGTGACATTTTCTAATAGCTTTTGCCGGAGGCTTATGGCTTCAGAGACTAAATCCATCCAAACCGTAGCATTTTGTCTAACTGAATTTGTGACACGTTCTGATCCCTCAGACTGTGCATTACTGCATATCTTGACCCAYACCCAGCAAAATGCTAAGTGCTACACCAGTTAGCTCAGATTTCTGAGGAAAACCAGTTTAAAATCCTCCCAACAGCAATAATGTGATTCTAATCATCCAGAGTGGYTTTGCCTTAATGTGTCCTCTGAATATGCTTGGTACCAATCCTCCTTTCATTTCCTCCAAATGGCATATTCTGTCATTTGGAAGACAGAACCACCTTACAACYGCAGTCATGAAATGCTGAAATTTGGAAAAACTACAAACTTCATTTGTGGCCCAAAATGAAGTGTTACCTTCTAATTACACTCTTTCTGAGCCACCAACCCTCTTTGAACTAAATACACATGATGAAGATTATTATTATTATTATTATTATTATTATTATTATTATTATTATTATTATTATTATTATTATGCTGGAAAGTTTTGATGAATTGAAAAGACAACAAGAACATACAAGTCAAGCATCCAGGAGAAATGTTCTCCAGTTTCCACCATTTCCCATCAGCTTTAATAGCAGAAACTCCCCTTGATTTTGCTTCAAGAGTTGATAGAAACTGTCCCTGGAACTGCTTTCACTTTGCGGTGCCGATTCACAAGTCTCTCACACTTCCACCAAAGCCTTGTGGTTTCATATCCTCACTGATCCCACCTGCAGTGGACCACCCTCCCAGCAGCAAGCGTGACTGCAGCAGGTCCATCCTCTCTCTTTTGCTCCAAGGAGACAGGAGCAAATATCTTTTTGTGGAAAACCACCCATTCTGACAGCACTTGCCTTTCTCCTTGGAGGCAGCTGGTGAGTTGTGAAAGAGCTGCAGTGGTGTGACAGCCCTGAGAAACCAGAAGTGTATCAGAGGAGTGGGGGCGATGCTGGTGGCCAGCGATAACCGCCCATGGCGCAATGATAACTCAGGCAGTTGGCTGTGCTTGCCCTCCACCCACCAAAAACAGAACGTGGGAAAACCATCCCCTCTCGGAGCGGGGATGGGAAAGGCTATGGTTCACCTCGGTTCTGCAGAGACCCCCCCYGCCCCAAACCTGCCTGCTCACCATGACACAGAGGCTGGTCGCCAGCAGCTGGCACTTGGTGGTCCTCATCCCGCACCTCAGTCCCATGGCAGCTTGTCCCCAGAGAGAGCTGGCAGTTGGTCCCTCCAGCTCTTGATAAAGCCTGGGTTTCCACCAAAGGAAGGCATGGCCACAATGGGGCCTCTCAGGAAGTGGAGTCCCCAGCACGTGCCGATGCACCTCCTCCTGCCTGATTATTAAATCCTGTTTAGGGCAGTCACCTTCTGCACAGGCTCTCAGTCAGCTGCTGTCAACTCCCACACCCAGCCAGCTGGGAAAGAAGGAATGGCACACAGAAAAACAACTTTTCATTAAGCAAAAATTTTTTTAAGTGTTCAGTGAAGAGTCAGTGTCAAAATACCCTGGTTTTGACTTTCACTGGGATGCAGTTTTGCTTAATAAACATTGTCGGTAACTTTTTTTTGTTTATAATCTGCATAAATAGTATTTTTGGGAAGGATCTAAGAGAACATTATTTAGAAAAAAATAACCTATTGTTTAAAGAAGAGATTAAACCCCCTCAAAGACRTCTGTGTAAGAGTCTTCTCTCCTCGTGTAAAACATGGCAATAATCTTTGGCTGAGTTTCTATTAAAACTTGCATTTGCAGATGAGGGAAAAAACCCATATTTGACAGTATTTTATTCAAGAAAATGTCTATATGCAAATATATTTCCCTGCTTAGGAGACCCTCACTGTTCATGGATGTTTTAAGTTTGTCCTTGCCCCTCTCCTAGCACTGAAGGCTCCATGGACCCACAGCTGCAAAAGACTCAGGTGATTTCTGATATTCAAAACCAGCTGTCTCCTGGGTGCATATTTCTCAAAAGTCAATCGCAAAGAARCATCAGGAGCAATCTGGCCAACGTGAGCCTGAATGACTGACTGCCTTAATCATCCTTAGTTTTGGAACCAGACTGGTGAAAAACAGGAGAAACCGAGTGATGAAAAATAATTGCACTCCGCCCAAATGGCAAACAAAGGGAGCAAAAAAGTAAAACCATCCCAGAATAGTAACCACAGTTACAGGAAGATGACAAAGAAGGAGGAGAGGAGTGAAAAAAGGAAGGGAGATACATTTCGTAAAGCAAAGAGAAGAGAAAGAGAGTTGCACAAAGTCATGTGCACAGGAAAAAGCATGTTATGATTTTCTGACTAYATCACTAGCTTTCTTGCAAGTTTTTGTGCAGATCATCTTGGTTKCAACCTCCAGAGACACCAATGAGAGCTGCCACAGGCAGTACTARAAGCAGGTGTCCCCATGGCTTGCGAACCCCTACCCTGGGACAGTCGTCCCTTATGTCCAGCAGGAGACACTGATGTACCCATGTGCACAGAGAGACCTTCCTTCTCTGGCCGCCAGCTGGAGACCATCTGAACAAAACCAGTGGATAGACAGCAGGGAAGGAGGGCAGTGGGGAGGGGACAACAGCCTGGTGAGGCAGTTGATGCCAAGCCACCCATGTTCAGGAGGATGGCCCCCGGGAATAGACCCGGTGGGGAAAATGCCTGAGAAGACACTGTTAAGAGTTAGGATTGCATCTGAATGCAGAACTGTGGGCACCCATCATTTCTTCTGGTACTGGGGGACAGGCGGGGGTGTTGTCACCTGCATTTTCAAGGGGAAGGATCCCTGGAACAAAGACAGCAGAGTTGGTCCACCGGTGGACTTACAGGCTAAATCTGCAAGGTCTGCAAGTAGGTATGAGCACAGCTCTGTGTGTAACATCAAACCACATCAGCCCGGCCACGAGCGACAGTAACCAAGCCATGTCACCAGCCCTGAGCACACCCAGAATCTGTTTCACAGCGGCGGACAGGGAAAAAAYTATGGAACCCATCTTCGTTCCTCGCCCCAGTTCCTTCCCCATCCTAAACGCCTGCCACGGCAGCGAGACCTGTGCGAAGCCAAGTCTCACACTAGAGGTCCCCACAGACCAGCAGAAGCCCTTCCCGAGGGGCGGGATAAGCGATGCAGGTTTTCGGRGGTCTCCTCAGTTCCCGCAGAAGCCTTGGAGCTCACCTCGATCCACCTGAGAGGTCCCAAAATCATCATCTACACACCTTGCAAGGGCTCCTAGTCTTTTCACAAAATATGTTCCACCTCCTTTTGTCTCCAGCCATAAAACCAGATTCCTTCATTGACAGACATCACTCTGAAAGGAGGTTTGTAACTTCTAACACCTGTGTCTAAAGGGCAGTTTGTTTTGGTTGAAAATGCCTTTTCGTGAGTAGCCTGCCCATGTCTTCTGATGCTTCCCCCACTTGCCCTGCTTGGTACCCTRCCTTTGTGCCCACTCCGTCCATTAACTGCTCCTCCTGCTGGGGTCAGGAGTAGAGGATTTTCTGCTGTTTCTCTTTCCTCTCTCTTACCCTCTATCCCATACAGGTATGACTTGAAAGTTTCCTGTTTGGAGCAGAGCCTATGTGGATTTCAAAAAAAAAAAAAAAAAAGCCAAAAGAAAAGTCCCTCCCTCCCTCACCCAAAAGAAAGCAGGAGCATGAGTAGAGCTGGGATATAGAGATGTTGGACTGTGGTTGATGAAGGCACATTTGGCAAATGGAAGGGCACTGCTGAAGGGAGCACAGGGGGAGTGTGCCCATCAAAAAGGCAATCCATGCAACCCTTCACTTTCTATGGGATTAAACTTCCTGTGGGTGCCCTGTTGTTGGCTCACACTGCTTCAGTAGACACACACCAATTTCTGTGCCAGGAAGTACTGGTGAGAAGCAAGGTGTCTGTCCCCTCAACCTCATCCCAGTGGGATGAGAGACAGAGCTGGTGGCATGCCAGGGAAACACCCTTGCAGCCAGCATGTGGGCTAGATGGCAGCATGGTTTTTCCAGCAAGACTCGGCCTCCTGCCCTCTCTGCCAGGTTTTATCGATTTGTCCCCTTTGCAATAGCACAATTTATCCCTCCAAAATGCAGTGCAAAAACCACAGGTGACCACAGCTCCTGTCTGTGGCTTCCTCCCTTATCTCTGGTTATCAGTTAAAGCATGGAAAGATGGTATTAGTCTGAAAATACCCTGAGAGCACAGGTGCTCCCTTTCCAGCCTTGTGGCAGCTTAGAGATTTCTGTTATGAAAATATACACCAGCATCCCCAGCTGCATGAGTCTTGGAATGATGTGCCACCTCATCCAGAAGGGAGGGATTGATTTAATAAAGAGAACAACGCCAGATCATATTTTTTTTTGCAGAGCTATAAATCCCCAGCCCTCTTCTGAGATGGAGGGAAATGATCCTCATGTTGTCAGATCCCTATGTCCTAAAAGAGCTGGGGGATTTGATTAGTTAATGCTGCATGGGTTGAGCTTGGGACACTAAACACGAATGAAGGAGAAGAGGCTGAATTCATGGTGGTGCCTTCTTGRCTGGCTCTGCACTTTTCTGGCTCTCCCTCTGTCAGTGTAGTAACCAGTGATGGAACAGCAGCACCCCAGTCTCAGCTGTTTGAACTCTTTTGAGGCAGCAGGGAAAAGAAAAATCCCACTTGGCTTTGGGGCACTGCTATGCATGCTCCTGAGATAGAATGAGCTGGAGGCAAGGAAGAGGTTGTTACCTAGGAGCCAAAACTACACCCATTATCCAGGCAGGACACACCTGTGGCAGGTCCCTGCTGCCTCTCAGGAGCCTTCTCTTTTTCCAGCCCAAAGCACCATTAGGGAAAACACTTCTCCCCCAAAGCAGAAAGCAGCTCCAGATAAGTCAGATTTACAAGTGTCAGTGGCTCAGCCCATTCTGTCCCTCAGCTACTGCCCATAACACGGCTGGATTCACCCTAAAGCTCGCTCGTAAATAAAACATGTCCGTATCAAACCGCACTGCAGCCATAGGGATGATGGGAAGCCARGGAGACCTCACAGCCTGTCTGCCTTCCCAGGCACATCACAAGGATGCATTGTAAAGGCTGCTTAGCATTCATATAGCACATACACACAAAGCTAAAAATCAACTTTTAAACCCGGGGCTATCTCTTTTCAAGAAAGGAATGAGAGGAGAAAAGGGGGAGGTGCTGAGCTTTGCCAGGCTTCAGATGCACCATACAATTCCACTGTGAATGGAAACAAGGCTGGCTAGAGGCTTGCTTTGGAAGATGCAAAACAAGAGAGAAATCATAGTATCTCCAAAGAACTTTTTTTCTTTATTATTATTTTTCTGAGTGTGTGTCTCAGAAATCCTCTAGTGATTCCCAGGCAATTTGAAATTATTATAGGTGAAAAGATAAAATGTCAGAAGAGTTATTAAAAATAATTCATCAAACCAAAGAAAGATTACATTGGAAAAGAACATAAGCTGAAGACAGGGAGTTCCCTCCACAGAATAAACTCCAATGAACTTTCTCCACTGAACAAACTGGACTCATAACTCTAAAGCACACCACCCTACTCAAACTAAATTTCTTATTCTTTTCTACATGCTATCTAATTGCAAACCATAACTGCCCAGGAGCCAGCTGTGCAGGTGATAGACCTGAATACATAATGGAATCCCTGCTCCATCTAGCCCTGCTCCTGGCAAAACCAGTGTGARCACAGCACAGCCTGGGAAACAGGCACTGCCCTGCTCACCAAGAACAGGGCTGCTCGACTGCCCATCACCCTTTATTTTTGACATACATCCTCTCAAGCTTCATTGCAACAGGACCTCTAGTACTTTCCACTGCAGTYCAGAAAGTTTTGGCAAAATACCCTGAAGAGCCCAAGTCAGCTGCCTCTAAAGCATGGGAGACACCAGGACTGACCCAGCATCCTATCTGCAGCCTTCCTGCTGACACAAGTGCCAAGCCAGGGGCAGCACTTTGCTTTCACCTTTGGCAGGTACAAGAACTAGCATGAACTAACATTCAGAGGCCCTTTACAGAGGCCCTTCTCCCTGAGCATTAATTGGCCACCTTGCAGCACACTGGCCGAAGCCACATGGGGCTGTGAGGTGTCCACACCAACCATGCAGTTGTCATTTTTGCCTTACCTGCTCCAGGAGAGGATAATTTCTTCTCCCCACTCTGGGGATGGGTAGCACATTGCTGGATGCTCTCTCCCCACAGGTTATGATCAGGAAGTTGATTGTGAACACAGACAGTGTTTAATGATGTCTTGTTCTACTGGATCTTACATAGTCATTAACTTTATAGAGAKATTTCAAATGAGATTGCATTTTTCTGAGTACAAGATGTACCTACCTACCTTCCTGCAGTCTGTTGGGAAGCCAGCTGCACTGCTAGGAAAGTGTAAGCATTTGCAGTGTGTTGTGCTCAGGCTCAGACCCGATGGCCACATCTGTCTGGAAACACACGTCATGATCAGCATCCCTGAAGCCAATTTGGACAAGTCAAGTTCATCCCTGAGCTGAGCGTGGAATAACTGTGGCTGGAGGCTGCGTACTCTCCCTTGAGACTGGGTTTACTGGTGTGAGTTATTAATGAAAAAAAATCCCTGTAGCTATTTTTGTATGACRAAAAATCCAGGTATTACTCTTAAGCATGGCACTTCAATACAGAAGGTTTTCTCTTGAAAAGTTTCAAGGGCAGCAGCTTCCCCTTTCCTGTGAGAAGGGTTTTCAGCAGAAATCAGAGACGAGGTAATAAAAGAACATCAGTATTACTCCACTGCAGTAATGCCCCTACTGACTAAGCTATGTCTGAAAGCACAAGGGAAGCCCCCTGTGCCAGCCAGGGCAGCTTTGCAGATGCTGAAGATAAATGCATTACACAGCCTCAGCTGAGCAAGCAGTCCGTGCACTCCCAGCAAGGGCACCAGGCAAGCAGCTCCCCTGCGCTGCCGGAAACCCACCAGGCAAAATGCTCCCTCCTGCGCCGCACACCGTGAGCTGCTCCTCTCGGGACAGGTCCTTYACAGAAGCTGTAGGGCTGCTCACTGGTTTGCCCCCAGGTCTACAGCACGGCCAAGAAGGTCTCAGCAGCCACTGGATTTTGGTGCTAAGCTTTCTGCATGCTTGATTACCAGAAAATCAAAGTGCTCGCAGGCTCCTTACTGTCAGGAATTTCAGCTCGGCTGCCCGTGACACTGCATGGGGGCTGGCACCTTCAAGTCACTGCCATTGAAACTGATTCTCAGGGAAAATATTTCTCTTTCGATGTGATGGAGCCTTGCTGCTCCCTTAATACCCCACATAGGTAAAAAAAAGGAGCCCCCTCTGTGTCACATCAAGAAATTATGGACAGCTCTTTGAACTACCATTTTTTGGCTTAGATACACCTGAGGACTAGCACCAAAGTGGTCCAGGGCAGACGAGAATACAGACCCTTTGATATCCAGATCGTGCTGCAGAGCCTTGCTGGCACCTGTCCATGGGATGACACATCCCCGCCACCAAGTCACTGCCAGAGGCACTAGCTTGGAGCATTTTCCTGAGATGGGGTCATGTTCCCCCTGAAAAGTGAATGAAGCTCTGTAACTGAACTGCATCACACCGTTGGATTTTTTTTTTTCTTTTTTTTATAAGACTGGGTGGGTGTGAAGACCGCACATCCTGAAGCTGTGCTGAAGCTGAAAGTGGACACAGCTCCTGGGCAGTAGGCTCATGCAGATCCCCCTCCATCCACCCTGTTTATTTAGCAAAACACCGTGCACGTTATTTCTTCCCACAAGTTCCCAGGACTCCAAAAGGAAACTCCTTTGTCCTCCCAGCTATCTGAAAGCACCTTACCCTGCTGCTCTTCCCGCTGGAGCTGGAAGCAAGGCTTGCTTGACAGAGAACCAAGGAGGACTGCTTGGCATGGCAGAGGGAAGCCGGGCTGCAATCCCCGAGCTACAAAAGCTTTGCATTTTCCTTCTGGTCTCCATGCCTGTATCCTTGAAACTCCCACCGAAGCCCACAGAGCCGGTCTGTGGAGAACGGCGTTGGTAAGGTGACTCACGCCACTACCATAAATCTTTGTTATTACACTTTTTCGGTGGATGTAACAAAGCAGAGCCACGGTGTGTCCCAYGGCTCTGTCGGGCAAGCACCAACCGGCAGCCAGGTGCCGGCACTGACCGCTCCGCCGGCAAAGCCCTGGGGGCAGAGGCGCTGCYGGGCCGCCGCCTTCCCCGCATCGTCACCCGCAAGGTACCGCTCTGGGGAGGGGACGGCTCAGTGGCACCGGCGACACCGACCCCTCAAGGGTCTGGAAGGSACAAGACCCGCAGCTTCCACCTCTTCGAGAGCAGCGGGGAGTCCCGGCTGCTGGTGCGTGAGCGCTCCGGGGTGCGGGGGAGGCGGGGCGAGAGGCGGGCCCCTCCCCCAAGTAATAATAAAAACTATATTAAAATAAATTTTTTTAATTGCCGGGTCACAGGCGGTGATTTGAGGGGAGGGTTTCAAGAGGGGGTAGGGAGCACACCCCGAGGG